TTATTCTACTGAGCCATCTCCCCGGCCCTTTAGAGAGGGACCTTAAGCCATGTGAGCGCTGGGAACTTTGGAGGGAGAGGTTGTGGCAAGCAAGGTATAAAAAAAACTTGGTGAGTGGCCCGGCATGCTGCAGCTTCACACCCCAGCGCCAGCTGGATCAGCCTTGGAGGAAGTACTTGGAAAAACTGAAGATTAGAAGTTGGCTGTAATTGGGTCCTGTTGCTTCCCTCTTAGCATGATTATGAGGACCAAGTGAGATAAAGAACTGGCGCTTTAGTACCTTGTAGGTGCTGCTTACTGTGTTCTGTAGCTGAAGCTCGCTGGAGCAGTGGCGCTCTGCCCAGCAGCCCTGGTGTCAGCTGTGAGCTGATGATACCATGAATCTTCATGAATGCCACTCAGCCTGCTGAGTCAGAGGCTTTGGGGACAGGGCAGAGGAGATGACCTCAGAGGCTCTTGAGGAGTGTCGAATGCAGCGGCAGCCCGGGAGGAGTTGTACAGCTCAGGGCCAGACGCTAAGAGGAGGGACAGTGTTTTAAGTAGCATCAGTGCAGCTGTGTCCTTTGCAGTGCAGAAGGGAGTTCTTTGCAGTATCAGACTGAAAGCTTTATGCAGGATGTTCAATAAACCCTTGTTTTTGTATTACTGATGATACCTGCTTCAGTACTGTGGTGGGAATAAGAGGAAGGTTTGAGGGCTGTGGGAACACACATAGCCCAAATGCTAACACCACCATAGGACCCACTGAGAAATTTGATATGAGGGTTAAACCTTATGTTTAACAGTTTTTACAGATGCCTGCCTTCTATGACCAGGCACTATGCTATATGCTGGAAATAGACAATTAAATGTTTATTTCATAGGCTTTGCAGGATGATAACTTTTTAGAAAAGAGTTTGAAACTTTTCTAGACACTAGATAGTAGTGTCTAACCTGTTTTCTGTGTCAGAAGATAAGCCTGGGTTGTTTTCTGGTCAATGCAAAGCCTAATTTGAAACCACTACCTCCTTCCTTTATCTTATGCTGGGAGTGCAACCCGGGGCCCAGACAGGCCAGGCAAGGGCTGTGCCACTGAGCCACACCCCCAGAGCATCCCTGCCTCATTTCTGGAAGTGTGCTGAACGTTGACTTATAGCTTGCAGACCTGATTTGAAATATTTTGAATGAGTTTGTGCCCCACCCTGTTTCAGGTTGGTTTTCAACACTGAGGAGTTATGCTAGCTGTTTTTGTCCTCCTACCCCCAATCACCATGCAGAGTAGAGATACCAGACTCTTTAGCTTGGAATAAAGGACATCAGCTTTGAGTGTCACCCTTCATCCAAATCCTGTCATCACTTACTGCCCATTATGCACATCAATGATGATAATAGTAGGTATCAATAAGTTATAAGCTGGGCTGGGGAGATGGCTCAGTGGAATAAGCGCTTCCCTGGCAAGCGCAGGGCCCTGAGTTCAATCCCTGGTCCCCCCCCAAAACAAAACACCAACAACAAAACAAGTTATAAGCTGTTGAAGAGCCAGAATTGGTAGCTCAGGGCCATGTTTACTGAGTGTGGAGGCGTGGCCTATTTCAGCTCCAGTCTGCACTGGCCAGGTTGGAGGTCAGCCAGGTGCTTAGAGGGTTCCACCTCCAGACGTGCTCAGAGCTTGGGTTTCCGAGTATGTCATTCCCGTAGGACACTCCCTTTCACAGTGAGACACTCCTCTTAGCAGGGGAGTCACTCTGCATGGGGCATGGCTGGCGTTGAACACTGTCCTGTCCCACCTTAGACTTTCTGGAAAGTAGGTGGCCTGCTCTTTGAGGCTGCAAATGGAATGCAGTTGTGTTCTGCTGTGTTTGAGCTTCCAGTCTTGTATGTTGAAAAGATCTAAGGGACAACCCAGTGAATGCGCCCCCCAGAGAGGGCAGGATGACTTATGAGCTGGACCGTTTTTGTCCTGTTGAATCAAC